ACATTTCGACGATTAATTTCTATTTAATTATATTACTAGTCAACTTTTGAAGAATCCTTCTGAAACCTAAAGTTTTTAACGGAATATGAATTATATATGTACCAAATTTCTTTCAAATACGTTCAGGCGTTTTAGCGTGATTGAGTAACAAACAGAAATTTTCACATTTATAGTATAAAAGGACTAGCGGGCCGCCCGCGACTTCGTCCGCGTTAAAAACAAAACTCCGAATCCGTCAGGAACCTAACATTTTTCCGGGGTTAAAAATATTGTATGCCTCATTCCAGGTTACAAACTATCTTTGTTCAGCTGCCAGAAATAACTATTATAGTGATATTTTTATTATTTTTAAGCATTTCACTGCTAGATGTTTAATAGTTATTTATTATACAAGAGTGGAAAGTTCCTTTTTAACCGCGTGCTCGATTTGGATGACCGAGCAAGCGAAGGATTCTAAAGTTGAATCACGAGCGCAGCGAGTGATTCTAAATTAGAATCCTGAGCGTCAGCGAGGGAAACAAACGAGCACAAGGTGAAAAATCTTTCCACTCGAGTGCAATACGTAACTTTTCATCCCACCTCAGCGAGGAAATGACAAAATGAAAAAGAAAACAATTTATAATGACAAAATATTTTTATTTCAATTAAAACACATTAAGATAATCTATAAATTGAAGAAAATAATAAGAAGTAGAAAATAATTAAGAAATATTAAATGTAACGTTGCTACAGTTACTTATGTTAAGTTTAATATTTTTGTTAGGTAATGTTATGTTGGTGTTTGTGAATTGTGCGCTGTTTTGTGGTAAACTACTCGTATCAGTAATTTTAAATAGTTGTGCCGATTCATTGGATTCTATTGGCGTAAATGTTGGCGAGAGAGGGCTATTGTTTCCAATCTTATGGGGGCTCATTTTAGATGTAGAAGGGCGAGACCAAGAATCTGACAGAGGTTCTTTCAGCGTTATGGCCTCCACGATACTATTACAAATTTTTGATTTACTTTGGATTGAATCCTCTATGTATCCCTCTACAACCGAATTAGACTTCCAGCCTCCATGGCGCTTAAGCAATAGAAGATCAGCCCCTGATTCGGCCAAAAGTGTGGCTGAGGTTCTTCTAAAACAGTGACCGGTGTATAACGGGGGTTCTAAAAGTCCGAGAAAAGTTGCTATTTCTCGTGGAATACTGCCAATTTTATTCTGACCCATAGGTTGTCGGATACACTTTCCGTTGCGATATTGTAGAAAAAATCGTTCAATTGGGGTGTTAGAAGGACGTAAAGCTTGATATTTCTGAACAATGTTTACATATTCCTTGCGAATAACGAAGTTGCGGTCTTTTTTTGTCTTGGTATTTAGTACATTAATTAATAGCAATTCATCAGAATTATGAGAATATTTTGATACGTTATTGACATTAAGTAGTGTAAGTTCATTTGTTCGACATGCTCCGGTTATACCAATAATAAGAACAACCTGTAACAAAAGAAGTATTTATAATCGTAAATAAATTAATCAAATTAAAAATATTGTAAGTACTATGTACAATTTTATCAACAACAAAAAATTACACGTATTGACTTACTTTTGCCGCTAAATATACGGAATCAGGTGCTTCATTAATAAACTTTGCAATTTCAGATGCTGTGAAAACCTTCGATTTTTTTGGTTTATAACCAGATGAGGCTCTTTTTAAAAATGCCACTAATTTATGATAGGTGTCGATATGAACGTCTTTCTTTATCTTAATTGTTAATTTTAGCATTGAATACGTACTCCATAGCGTGCTTGCTTTCTTGGTCTCAGATAATTCTATAAAATATGCCAGCAAAACGTTTTCGGAGAAAGTTTTTGCTCCTTTAGCTAGTCGCCACATGTTAAATATATCGTACTGTTTCAAATACTTCTCTCGTGATTGCTGAGGGAGAAGGCTCATTTGCGCATTATTAACTGTTTCAGTTAACTCAGTTGGCGTTAGATAAACTTCATCGTCGCTAATGTCACTCATTTTAGTTGATTTTTTTGTACAGTTTTTAGGTTATGTTAATTATATTAAGCAATAAAACGTGAAAAACTAGAATGGCGCGAAGCACGCAAATAAAACAAAGAAACCAAGAAGGTTCCAAATTTAAATTTTTTCACAATTTAAAAAGTTCTAATCATAAATTTGGCACCATAGAGGTTACATTAAATAGGTTTAATGACGTTTTGAATTTACAATTATATTGAGTACTCATTATATGTGATGTTCTAAATTCAAATCTACTTTGCCGCTCAAGCGAATAAAATAGAATTTTCCAGCCAGATTTCGAAGCGCAAAATTACACTTTCCGAGGTGGTGGGATGAAAATTATATTATTATGTGCGGGTTCGAGTCCCGTCTGCTGCCTAGTTCGCGTGGAATTTTTAATTAATTACTTCCATAGCGTACGCTTCTCTTGATTTCGGGCAGCAAATGTTTGCATACCGTTTTCGTAGTCAGTATAAGTGCTCGGCTTAAATTGTTTTACGATTGATGGAATTTTGTCCTCCGCAAACAAAAGTCCTTTTGTGCGTAGGCCATTTGTAACCTACATAAAAATAGTAAGTATCATACCTACACTAAAGAGTGAGTTACTCTTCCTTCTATCTAAACATTTGTCGTCCTTTTCTTAATTACTAACAAATTTCATATCGTATGACAAGGCCAGATTTCGTTTTTTTTTATATTCGATTTCCGCTGGGGATTTTCTCACGCAGCCAGTTCAACAATTCTCACTGCTGCGCCACTCCCACGATTTAATTTAGGGTCAATGACTACTTTGACGCTTAGGAGCTTGAATTTAGACAAAGTGACATCTCTGCGCTTTAAGCTTTCTTTTTAAAAGTGAAATGACATTTTGTATAATTATTAAATTATTTAAATTCAATGTGTAACGCCTTAAATACATAATTAAATAATATTAGCTACCGCAACTTCGTCCACGTAAACAATTTATTTTTGAGAATCCTATAGGAACCTAACATTTTTCGGGGATAAAGTATTAGTAGAATTATTAAGTTGGTATTTTTTGTGAAATATACAAAAAAATAGACTTCGTAAAAGCAGAACAACAAAAAAATCTGAAACCATTATTTCCCTTTACTTTTAAATAAGTAACTTAAATTATTATAGATGTGCATATCATTTTTGAGGATTCCTCTCGACTTCTCCTGGAACCGACCAACAGATCCTGACTAGGTGAATATGGGAGCATAACTTTCCAAATAAAAAAAATATCTTGAAAATCGGATTACCATGTGCGAGATTTTATTAGATGATATAACGTATTTAAAAAAAAGTATATACACGACGAATATAAAAACTTCTTCACTTCTTTTTTTTTTGAAGTCGGTGAAAATGAAGTACCCCTATGATAAAAAGAATATGAGCCAGAGGATGGCGAATTAAGCGTTTGTTTTATTACAGTACCAAAAAAAATGGGTCCGACTGATGACGTCATTGCTTGTCGAAGCAGTGCTGTTGCATGGACGTGTCAAGCGATCATGATCATCATCATCAGCTTATTAATGCACCACTGCAAGGGCACAGGCTTTGCCTTTGGATGGAATAGTGAGATTGGGCCGTGGGCCACGGCCCTTTTAGTCGTGTGGCGCTCGTGACGCATTTTCGTTTCATCTTTCCCCCGTGCAAAAAAAGTTTTACTTCAAAAATTGGTCACCCATCCGATGACAGGCATTTTCGAAAGTTGCTTAACTTCCACAATCGCAGATCGGGCGCGCTTACCACTGCGTCATCAAGCTTCTCCTAATTGAATGCTACTGCCGCCTAAATCATTCGATACTGTGGGCATCATGTGAATACGATTGGACAATGCCTTTACGTTTACTTGACTACAAGGTCCATTATCCTAGCCAAAATGTAAACAACTGCATGGCCTTGACTAAAAATTTATTATTTCGAACTTTAACTATGACTCGCTTATTTTATAATATACTAACTGTCCCAGCGAACTTCGTACCGCCAAAAAAAATATTGGGGTGAAAATTTTGGGTTATATGTATTTTTGTATCATGTTTCATAAAAAAATAAAATTTAACAGTAGTCCACCCTTAACATTTAGGGGGATGAAAAAGAGATGTCCGATTCTCAGACCTACTGAATATGCATATAATATTACACGGAAAATCGGTCGAGCCGTTTCGGAGTAGTTCAATTACGCACACCGTGACAGGAGAATTTTATATATAAGATAACATAACTCCTGATTTTATAGTTCTTAAAAAACAGGTTTGCAACCGTCATTAAAAAGCATTCAAGAATAAAAGAAATATTAGCCCATATACCCCTGTATCCAACAGGTAGATTGTCAACCCTAATTTGTTTTTATCTTCAGAAGTGTCATCAGAAAAACAAAAATATCTCTTTTTTGTATTCATTAACTAATTCATTTTCAGGTAGCTTTAATGGCAAGTTCCTTCGTTAACGGTGGACATAAATTAAGCGGTTGCTTTCGAACTACATATTTTACTACTTGTACACAATGATTTTAATAAAAAAATGTACTTTGGTTATTTTGAAGTTACTTATTCCTAAAAACGTCAGCTGAAAAGGTGATTGCGGATTTTAATCACACATGTAAGTGTTTAATAAAAAAAAAGCAAATGGGAACATGTGAAAGTCCTCTAGCCGCCCGCGGCTTTATTTGTTTTATTTTATTATAGTTTTATACCAGCTATTTTTATTTTATTTCTTTTGCTATGTTTTTCTTACCTTAGGATTTTTTCGAAATATTTATTTATAAAGAAATACTGTAAAAAAATTGCAAGCATTGGAAAGGTAATGATTGTTGATAAAAATCAAGCATGTATTAATAAACAACTTGGGCACCTACCAAACGTTTAATACTTAACTATTCAGGTATTGTAAAATACTGAGCACATTTAAATATTCTAAACTTATATTGTTTCGAAAAATAAATAATAGCTTATAAAAGAAAAACAAAAACAATTAAAAAAATGACTGAGCTAAGGATCAAACCACCGATCATTAGGTGTCGACCCCATGACCGTTACTGTTCGGCTATCTAGCTCTTATATTAAATAATAAAATTACGGATACCTATCTTGTGTCAAATACTAAATACGATACTAAAGAATGTTCACTTCAAAAAATCTCTACAATGTCATTATCAGTGAACAATACTTAACACTTATCAAAAACACAGATATCGTCACTCTGTTCTATAAATAAAATGCGTTCCCTCGCGTGTTCGCCGCTTATTATTACTTCCAACCACGCGAAATAGCGAACGGAGGAGTTTACGCGCGAATTTTATTTACACATCCCCTTTGAGATCACCTGTATCCCTAGACGGACAAAAAGCGTCCTTGGTCCCATTGTCAAGCGTTTCGCGCCAAGTGAAGTGCCTGCCAAAATCGGCGCACGCGGCAGAGCGCGGGAAACGGCCGACCGGCGTCCGCGCAGAACCACAGCCCGCGTCAGTCGGTATAGTGGTGAGAGCGCGCGAGCACGCAGCCACGCCGCCGCGCCATTTTTAGGTTAGAATTGGCGGGTCCCATCCATCCGCCAGGTGTTAACTGCATACGCTCCCCCGCTCGCACACGCACGCGCGCCCCCATCTACCATCCCTCTCGTTACCTGCGCACAACAGCTGTTTTCCCGGGAGATTAGTCAGATGTTTCTCGCGAACCAGTCGCAGCTCACCTGACTCTGTTGATATGGCCGCTGGCGGACGCACACCTAAGCAGAGGAAATCAGATATGTCTTCAGGAATGGCAGCGTTGAGGAACGTGTCCAATACGCCGAGAAGACGCCGCGGAAGCTGCAAATGTTTGTTTGGTGCACCTGATAGGGATGAGACTACTCGACTGATGGCGGAGCAGTACGCGCGGGACCGGAATTGGTTTATAAGGAGGTTCAACTTTGATATAGAGACGGAGCGTCCTTATAAGGTTGCGAGATTAGAATCACCAGTGAAGTTTTGGGATGAGGACAAGGAGAATTCGAGGAGTCCAGTGAGGTCGGCTACAGATGCTTTAGCGTGTGTTGGGAACACGGACCTGAAGATGCTGGGTTCACCTTCGAGAAGGAGTAATGGCAGCGCTGGTTCTTCGCCGCGGACTCCTAGGACACCCCGCACACCGCGAGCTGCGCGCACGCCACGCACCCCGCGCACCCCCGCTTCAAGAAGACAGCTGCAAATGACAGGTCAGTACCATAAAACACCCTTATTAATAGTTAACTGGCATTGAATAAGACACTTTACACGATCATAAAGCACGATTCGTTAATTCTTTATATTATTCCCTGAAGTTATGGATCATTTACAGGCAGTGTCATGGCATTATAATGTTTGTTTAAAACCGTATTTTTTTATTGTTGCCGCGATGATTGATATGTAGTTAAATGTGACTTTACTTAAAATTCCATTTTAAAATAACCATTTGTCAAAATTGTACATATTTTACAATGTATCTGACTTTACATTAGCCTATAGTCAAATTTAACTATGTCCTAAACAACGCACTGAAAATATAAGAAACTAAGAATTAATAAGCATTTCAAAATAGGTGAAAGAGGAAGAAAGATACTACTCACAAAATTGTGGAATTTTAATAATATAATAATTATAATATTCATGAAGAAAAGGTTCCAATTCCAAAATCCTAATTTACAAGACGTCATTAATGTAAGTACAGCAATGTAAGTACAGCATCCGCCGTCTTCTCATTATTATAAGAGCAGATAATCAACCTCCTTTATCGAAACTTGTTCATCGTACAATGTTTCTACTATAACGGGCTCACAATCGCTTACCTGTCCTATTATTTGCTCAAGTGCATCTCAATGAGCTTATGAAACTGGGGCAAGCAAGTTTATCGAACACAGCCTGATCAAACATAGTGTAAGCAAAGATACCAATCCTATCATTGAAATCAATATCCTGTATCTGGATGCAGGGACTAGAAATATTATATATTTTGGTTATTCACTCATAAAAAGTCTACACAATACTTTTGAGATTATTATAAACGGAACAAAGTAATTAATGATCATCTACAAAATAAAATTGGTAATCTAAAGAAAGGTCAGGTTACATTTCCAATTTTATTAGGTGTTCTGATCATTTATAATTTTTTTGAGGATCATTGAATTATTTTCCAAATTGTAACAAAAAAACAAATAAAACCCTACTCATTGTAAATTGTCCAACAAATATAAAGGAAATATGTACTTTTAAAAGTCTATTATACTGCCATGGCTTCAATGCGATTGACTCTTTAAACAATGTTCCATTCACAAACAATGATATTTTATTGTAAACACATTTTTCACTGGAGGCTTCTTCATCGGATCACGAATTTTCGATTCATGTCATGAAAGTTATATCCATTGCTCATTATCGGGTTCAACGACCGGTTACGTCATCTAAGGTCCAAGACTCCATCACTTTTTGCGGCTCTCCACCAAAGTTCCTTCTCCCGAATTATTTTAATATCCAACTAAACTCTCTCTATGATTTCGACTTTATTGTCTAGCGGTTTAGGTTCATCGGGTCCTAGCCAAAGTTTTCGTTGCATATTACTTATAAGCATTATGTTCATTCGAAACAAAAAGCTTATATGAATCATTATAGTCTGTTTTATAATTAAGTATTCTTTTGTTTTGTCTCTTAGTATTTTTTTGTCTTTTTCAACGTAAACACTTTTAAGATATTGGGTAAAGAAATAATTATAACTTTATCAACACAACAAATTTCACTATTGAAGAAAGCATACTTTGTAGATGCTTCCAAATATTTGTATTCGATAGCAATATTAAGGCGTTCAAATAAACAGCTGGAATTTTTATTTGGGTGCGGTGCGCCCACTTGACCTGAATATCATCACTGATCAAACATTATGTTTTCGTGATTTTCAAAAATTGGAGCACTAATGTTTAAACAATTTTACGCTGTGTCCAAACTTTCCCTTAGAGTGTTTATTTTATCGACCGCAAGTAAAGTTTTGATGGATGAACTTGTTTTTAATGAAATACAATTTTCTCACGAACACGCAATTATGTAGTTAAGAAACGAAATCTGAAATATTAAAAGAAATCCTTATTTTTTAAAACTGATCTTTTTTCGTCTATATTGAAAACTATACTTATGTATTCAAATTCGGTAAAATGTATATTATATGTTAAATTAATATTAAAACACTGAACAAGCTTTATTGATTAACAAAAATAGTATTATTATATTACATAGATAATTCTTTATTGTACACACCACATTATAAATACAAAATTAGGACAATAATTCAAAAAGGCGGACAATTGTCGGTCTTATGGCTCTGTAGCCATTTCTTCCAGACAACCATAGGATGGAGAGACGAAATTCAATTAAAGAGTGGGGGTGTGCAACTAAAAAATTAAAATAGAAAAAAAGGAAAACAAAATATAACCATGATAAAAATTACTGTTCATATTATAAAATAGAAACTGATAAAAAAAACAAATAAACACACAAAAACATACATCGGTACATTAAATAAAATACACATTTTTAATAAAATTAAAATAATAATATGATGCAAGCAAGAACAGGGAGAATGCATGGGAACAACACAAACAATTATTGTAAAAGGAAAATTCCTTTACCTCACTTTTAAACTTTCCTATAGTCTGTGCACGTCTAATCTCAACAGGAAGAGAGTTCCAGAGGCGCACAGCTTTAACACAAAAAGAGTATTTATAAAAGGAGGTATTGTGTACAGGAGTTTTAAGGCTCAGATTCTCTGATGAGCGTAACGTCTGGGTATGGGAACTGTGGAGAAAACTGAAAAGTTCTTTGAGATAATTGGGGTAATAGGGATTAAACAAAACATTGTAAAGAAGAGAAAGTATATGAGTAATATGCTGCTATTGATTAACGTGGGTAAAGTATTTCGCTCTGTCAATCAAAAAGAAGTAGATCTCTTGTAGCAGAACACTAGATTTGAGTTATATGGAAATGTATTAGAAGATATGTGGAGAACAGTAACTTTGGAATAAATGGATATCACACCACTAAATTACCGCGTCTACCAGATAAACTAACCAATAGTAAGAAAGTATAATAAAAAAAAAGATTGACTGTAATTTGTAAGAAGAACGATGAACTTGGTAAGTAATATAATCTCCATAAAAAGGACACTAACATTGCGTAATGAATACTCTTGGTACACCTATGATTGATGTCCAAGATTGTCTGACGCATAAAATATCTCTGTGACGTAATCAATATAAATTGGAGCCGCACCTCCTCGAGTCCTCGAGTCATCGAGTCGTGACTCATTCGTAACGAGCAACAACGATTTTGGGGCCCTCTTCGTTTCTCGGAGAAAGCTGCGTGTGCTGTGAACTGTGTTACATTAATCGCTTCTTTCGACAGTGTTACCTAATTTCTTATTAGCATTATTATTAAAGCTTCTTTAAAAACCTTTTCGAATACATGTTCCGAAGTAGACTTCAGAACTATTTTTTAATTCTCTTACAGTAGCATCATTATTTTTGGAATGTTTAACTGTCTCTATAGACTTGTTTTCTATGTTTTTTTACATTTTGAGAAAAGGTATGAGATTTTTATGAGAGAGGTTGGGAAGTAACTCCATCTTAAAAAGGATGACAGTGAAATGACATCACCTTTTGTCAAACAGTATACTGTATATAAGATTTCCAAGATACTATGGGGTTTGTTGACACTTAGAGGATATGGTTCAGGGAAACATTTTTCTGCTGTATGAGCTTTCTTCACTGCCGGACTTCTTTTACACTAAAAATCACCCAGCCTCCTCGCTAACTTTTTTCACATTTACAGTGTATAACTAAAGAGTAAATTATATATCCATCGATGCTTTTAAGAACAAGTATATTAGTTGCGTTAAAATAAAATAGGAAGGGAAAATTAGTAGGCGGTAGTGGATTACTAAAAAGGTTGGAGATTATTATTTCCATCTGTCAAAAAAGTTAGCAAATAGGCCTACATGTAGAGAGGGGTAATTGGCTACGCCTTGTTTAAAAAAAAATAAAGTGCCTAACTTCTGACTTGACAAGAAATTTTTCACTTTGCCGAAGAAACAATGAAAAAAACGTTCTATCCATACATTAATGCATACGTTCCATTTCGTTATCTATATATTACTCATTGGTATTGTCACCGTTGAAATATGTGCTTACAAAAAATTAAGCTTGTATTCAAAACGTAATGCGTTATGACAACGTGCTTTCTGCAGTTGTGAACGATAAATAATTTAAAAACACGCATCTTCTGCCGTTGCATACACATCAAGTAATATACAGTTCATCACTACATAACATTAAAGTAGGTAACAAATATTGTTTTGTTGCATACAACGATACTTTTCCTTTTGCTCCATCCAAAGCAAATCCAAACCTATTCAACCATTTCATAAACAAACAAATGTCCGATATTATCATAATCTACATTACTAACTTGAATCTTAAGCAGAAAATCGAAGAATCTCTAGGAACCATTTCACTACTCTTGCCTATTATTTTACTACCTGTATAGCCCCATGACCATGACCTGAATTTTAAATTAAAAGGAAGTGTAAAGAAAAAAGGGGAATATTTTTTAAGTAAGTATTACGGCATCGTACATACAATAGAACAATACAAGGAAGTCAACTTTATTGAACTGCCGACAAAGGCAGATATAGAGGAATTGATAAAATAGAATGAACTAACAGATAGCTATCCTAGCATTTCTACGGAAGCTTTTTTATTGTTTAAGAAGTGAACTATAAGCGACCAATAAGAGCGGAGCGAACATCAATGAAAAATGTTGCAAGAACGAGAAAAGCGAGAAAAGAAAAATGAGAAAACATATTCATATTTGAGAGCACTATATGTAGGTTTTAGACATAATTTATTCAAAATAGACCGCTATCCCTTGACAAATCTATCAGTTTACCGATAAATGTATGCAGCTGGCTTGTCCTATGGCTTATCCTATAGTTTTCCTACTCCCAGTCCAGCATAGTATAGTAAATATATTGTCACTGTTATTTAAAAGAACACAAAATATCCTTCCACAAGCACTGTAATTCAAATGAGTCTTTTTGCTCACGATATAAGGTTCGTTTTACAGCTATTTTCAATCATCAAACTCCGCTGAGAGATTGACATATTAGAGCTTTATTGCCTAGATATTTGTATTATTTAGATTAAAATATAGAAACTGTTTGTTTATTAGGTTTTCACGTACATTACTCATGAAATAAAACACGCTTAAACAGGTTGAATGCGTAATTTTTTGACGTTTCGCATCCTTTTCATAATTCTGACGACCTTTGTCCAGTTTAAGTGTTATTTTGTTCCTATGTTGAGTCTATTTGAAGAAAAAATAGTCTTTTTTGTTTTTGATTTAATATTTTTCATAAAATGTCATAAACATGTGCCATTACTAATAATTGTAAGTTCTTATTGTTAATTTTCTTAAATACAACTGCTACTTTTGCCGACATTTTTTGATAGATTTAGCTTTTATAATTTTTCGAAGTATTTTTAAAGTATTTTACATATTCATGATTTTTGCTATCAAAATTGTTATTGTATTCTCATAGTCTTTGTCTGCCATCTGATTTAATATTATTTTGTATATGACTTTAAAATAAACCCATTGCGTCCGAAATCCTAGCCTTCATTTTCCATCCCACTAGCTCTCCGCTTCAGCTACTAAGAGACAGAACCAGATTATACTTACCTTTTACTGTACTGGGTTGATTATTGGAACTGACCGTTAATGGTGCTACTCAAATTATTGCGTCAACTTTACCTCACCAAAATCAGCTTTTTTATCAAAATATAAGGTTCATTGTTGTGACGCAATGCCGCTTAAAATATTGTGTTTTCTGTACCTCGACGAAGGTCAGGTGCATTCTCCCATAGGGCACGCTGAGTGATTCCGTGGGGTGGTGTCGTCACGGTCCCGGGTTCGGCTTCGCTCCGGTGGATACATCAGAATTTTAATTGCCTTTTTTTCAACATGTTACGTACGTATGGGAAAGGCAATGCTGCTTTGTGCGTATGTAGGCAGCTAGTAACAGTTACAGTTTTTTTTAATGTTTACTTACATACATACATAGCTTTAAGTTACTCTTTCGGTAATTTGTGTATAGTTATTTTTGATAGTATTTTATTTGAAGATCAGTCAAGATTCTGATTTAGTATTTGAGGAGATTATCATCTTGTTGAAAACGTTGACAGCTTGCAAGAAAAATATAAATACATAAAATGACCATCTTTTCATTACTAAACAGTGAAAGTGACAGGTTGGATGCCTTGCACTAACATCCCCAAAAGGAATTAAGCGTCAAAGTTATCTATATAATTTAAAATCTAATATGAAATAAAATTATACCTTATTTAAATTTACTTATTGTAAGCTCTTTTGAATCGTCCAATAGTTTTTCCTATCACCCATTCAGGACATCTAATAGCTGATGAGTAGAATGGGCGCAAGAACCTCATCAGCATATAACAGAAGAAGCAAAATTTACAAAAAAATCATGTCGCTACTAATACAACGTCCACTCACATTTTGATGTTCACAACTCACAATTCTGGGACCAACAAAAAGAGAAGGCGGCAGCTGGAAAATCCGCAAAAACTGCGAGATACAAAATATGGTGGCGCAGCTCAACATTATGGGGAAGACTAAGGCTCTAAGGCTCGTATTACAGAATGATAAACTATGTGTTGATCTTTACTTGAGTACAGTTAGAAAAGGATCTCGCTTTGTATAGCACATAGTGTAGTTGTCATTCTGTAATACGAGCCTAAAAGTCCGCTGGCTGGGACACATAGAACGCATGGATGCAATCGGATCGTAAAGCGCGCATACACAGGTAGGGTTGCCAGGTCGATAAACCTAATAGCCGGAAGGAACAGCCAGTTTGGCAGGACATTTGGATAAATAAGCCGGACACCCTACATTATTGAGGATTTTGTGGCTCAGTAATATTAGGTACGACAAAAACATGCATGTTAAAGCAACGGGCAGTCAAATCACTTGCGCTCGGCCACGCTCAGCGCTCGATCGTTTGCGAAATGTAAAAAGCATAACAAAAGCCGGACAAGCCGGACACCATTTATTTTGGCTGGACACGCAATGAAAAAACCCTCACTATGTTCGTCTTTATCAGGACGCCTGGCAACGCTATATACGGGGATACCTTGTAGGCGAAGGCCGGTTGGGCGCCCCAAGTACCACTGGAAAGTCCAAGTAGTCAAGGATCTATTCGAGATGCTAGCAACAATTGGCCCACAAAGAAAGGGCAGTAGCGTCGTCTCACAGGCCCAGATCCACTTCCACTTCGTAGTTGGAGTCTCCAACTACATATATGTACCGAATAATAAAATAACATAACCATAAAAATATTGTAGTATATGAGACAGCTTGCAGTTTTTGTAATTAGTAAAAGAGAATAATATATCATTCACAATGCATTGTTAACAAATTAAAGCAAAGGATATTATTTCCATGCATGCATCATGCACTTTGTAATAACCTTTAGTTATTAGGTTTTTCTTCACATGTGATTTAAATTTAGTGAGAGGTGTCCAATTAAATCATGTAGAATTTTAATGTATAATGAAACACCTAGAAATGAACCCCACAATTTTTTAAGCCTGAAGCATGGAACGGCAAGTTTGTCCTTATTTTTTGTATTCATAATCATGAATATATTCAAAAAGAAACTATAAAAGTTTCTTAACTTTTCCTCACGAACATGATATTTTCATAGATATAGAAATTAAAATATAGATTCTCGCGGATCTTATTTGTATAAAGCACGGAAAGCTCAAATAATTATGTATATTAACCAAAACAATCTCTTCCATCCGCTTAACCGTGGCACTAAAATACGGTTGCGTGTTGAATCCAACAGTATTCGAAATTTAAATATAGAATTTGAATTTCGAATCGGATGCTTTCGTCAATCAACCCGCGCTCGCGTCCCGTTTCACCAAAATTCCAATTTAAAAACATGCAGCAAATCATGTTTGGGCTTCATTCTATCTCTATTTGGCTTTAACAATTGACAAAGATGGAATGACGTGCTTTTAAATAAACTGATGGACGAACTGACGGAGTAACTTTAATGTTGATTAACGTAGCCTCAGGTGCGACGCCGGGTGCTAACATGCAATCGAATTTTGCATAAGTAATATCTTTTCTTGATAGCTAAAATACTTATTGGTGGCGATTCTGGCATGATTCTCCAAACTTAAAACTAAATTTTACAGCTGTCTATCCTTTTCATTCTGGATGGAGAATGAAAAGGATGCACTGTTGAAGTTTAGGTTCATAGAATCATGCCAGAATCGACACCTTT